CACACTTCTTAGTCAAGGATACAAGAGATCTTAGTCAAGCACATTTCTTAGTCAAGAGATGAAGCTGCTGACAGCTATATCCCAAAAGGGATCTAACGGATCTAGGGGGTGTAACCCTACTTCACTTTTGCCCCAACAGAGCTGACAGAATAGATGACAGCAGAAATCACCCTGTGGTGGACAGATGAGCATCCTTAGCTTGACCATTACCTAGCATTACTGCAGAGACTACAGTTGGATTTTAGATAAAAGAGCCACGCAATCTTAAATCACATTGCCAGCCACCACTGGAAAAGATAAGCCTCATCTCAGTGGCTGACTGCTTAGCCACTGTGCCAGTCTGGAGCTTACCTGGATAGAAAGGATGATGCCTGCTGCCCTGCCTTCCTTGCCAAGATCCACTGTAACCTCAAACTGTGAGTCAAAATAAACCCTTCCTTAAGTTGCTTTTGACAGGTATTTTGTCATAACAATGAGAAAGTAATAGGCAGGGTGAGGTCTAGGCAGATCAGGTCAGTATAGAATTGATGGGAGACCTCAACCAGCAGGCAGCACAGCTGCAGTCACTGCCCCAAATGCTGAGTTTCTGTATCCTCTCCCTGTGGGATCAGAACATGCCACCCTCATAGCACACAGATGTGTTTAACAAGTCTCACTATGTAGACCAGGCTGGCCTGACTGAACTCACAGAAATCGGCCTGCTTCTGTATCTGGAATGAAAGGCACACCTCACCATGCCAGCTATTTTGGTTGTTTGTGATACGGTTTTGTGTGGGGGAGGGGTTTGTTTTGTTTTGCTTTTATTTTTTGAGACAGGGTCTCTCTGTAACCCCAGCTGACCTTGAACTCACTATGTAGACCCAGGCTAGCCTTAAACTCACAGAGATCAGCCTGCCTCTGCTGGGATTAAAGGCATTCATGATAAGGTTTTAAGGACCATTTCTAACTCTTCAGTTGACCTCTTGAGGTGCCCCTGAAATCACATAATGAAAAAGACAATTTCTCGCTTTCTAATGATCAACAAATAATTAACTATGCTTGAAACATTTTCAGCCTTTTAATGAGTCAAACTCATGGTGGTGCATCCCTGCTTATCTATCCAAACTTTCTCTAGACAGGTTCTCACTGTATAGTGCTGGCTGGCCTCAAATTCACAATCCTCCTTGCCTTAGGCTCACAAACGCTAGGATTTGTAGCATGGACCAACATACCAGGATGAAGATACAGTTCACATTTTTACATCTACATACAGACTCCCAAAGAAACTTTTACATGTGTTGTTTGAATCATATTCCTCTGCAGAAACCATTCTTTGAGAAGCAAATGGATTGATATTCTCTCTCTCTCTCTCTCTCTCTCTCTCTCTCTCTCTCTCTCAGAAGGTTTTTTGTTTTGTTTTTGCAGTGGTTCACAGGACCAGGCACAGAGGGTATTCTGTATTTCTTGACTGATTTATGAGTCTTCACAAAGACTTTTTCCAATGAAGATAGATACATGATTCTCAACTGTTGGTAACATCAACGCAAACGAGATGAAGTGACCACATGTCTCAGTCACAATTATACTTTATTAGTAGCTACCATAATACCAATGACAAACTTGCACATGTAGCAAGCAGGCAGAAGACACTGGTATTTTTGAGCACATCCCCCCCAATCAAAATTAAGGGAGAAAATTTTAGCCACAGACTGCTAAGTATGGTGGCATCCACCTGTAATGCCAGGTGGATGATCAGATGTTCAAGGCAGCCTGTGACACACATGATCCTTGTTCAAACAAACAAGCAAGCAAACAAGCAGACATAGACTGAAAAAGACAGGTACCCAAAGAGGGAGGGGGCACAAGAAAAAACACTTCCCTCCAAAACACAATACATTTCAAGGTTATTGTTGACCCATCAACAAGGATAGATAATAAAATCACTCATATTTCAACTCATGGAAGAAAGTTCAAACATACTTGAGGGATCTGAATGTAAATTAATAATGACACTTTAAAAAAAAACAAGATGCTCAGACTCACTAAATTGCACATTTAAAACAATGACTACATATTCACATCTATGGATGTGGGACAGGCTCAAAATTATTTAAGTGAAAAAGCAAACCACAAGTTGTTCATATTTTCAGTTTAACTTTTGTACATTTTTATGTTACTACGAACTAAAGGCAGGGAAAGATACTGAAAGTATTTACAAGTTATCTACATATTAATAGCAGGAAAGAATGTACATTTGGTAGATTTGGTACATGTATACGGACATGTACACATTCATTCCTTCAAAAACGTAAACATTGGGGACTACATATCCCATTTCTGTTCTTGGGATATTTTCACATTCATTCATTCATTCATTCATTCATTCATTCATTCATTCTGGAGACAGGGTCTCACTATGTAACCCTGGTTAGCCTGGAACTCATTCTGCAGCTGGGAGTGACCTTGAACTCTGGATCCTTCTGCCTCTACCTCGAAAGTGCCGGTATTACAGGCATGCACACCCAAATCTGGTTTAAGTCCGTTTTTTTTTGTTTTTTTTTTGGTCTTTTTGAGACAGGGTCTCCGTGTAGCCCCAGCTGGCCTGGAACTCACTATGTAGATCAGGCGGGCCTTGAACTCAGAGATTCACCTGCCTCTGCTGGGATTAAAGGCGTGCGCCACCACGCCTGGCAAGTCTATGCTTTCTAATACCTACATTTAAAAAAAAAAAAATCTAAACAAAAAGGGCATTGGTGACTGTGAGGTAAAGCCCAAGGTGCAGAATTATCCTGATATCAATCCATTAGGATATTCTGGCTTTATGACCAGCCTACTTCCCACCAAGATCTGTAACAAGCATGAACTTCTGAGAAACTCATCTCTGAGAGGCTGGTAATACAAACTTGACTTTAGGGACTGAGACGTTAAAAAGAGGTCTACTTAGCTGGGCATTGGTGATACACACCTTTAATCCCAGCACTTTGGAAGGAAGCAGAGACAGGTGGATCTCTGTGGGATCAAGACCAGCCTGGTCCACATAGTGAGCTTTAGATCAGCAAGGCCTACACAGCAAGACCTTATGTCAAAAAATACAGGGGTGGGGGTGGGGAGTGAAGGTCCACTTACACATGCAGCATCAATCCTATAGAGCAGAAGTTGTTTCAATACATAAGAGAAAGGAGATTCAGTCCCGCTTACGTGTTTTACACACTGGTTAAATTATTTTACTCTCTTGCCAGGCGTGGTGGTGCAGGCCTTTAATCCCAGCACTTGGCAGAGGCCATCCTGGTCTACATCGTTGAGTTCCAGGCCAACCAGGGCTACCGGGTGACCCTATCTCAAAAAGACAACAACAAAAAATTTTTTTTACTCTAAAAATTTGAGTGGGCTCAGTTCTTATTTTCTAAGCACCAGCTAAAACACCTAATTAAAGCCCAAATCATGCTGAGTCCTGCTAGTCACATCACTTCCAAGAAGGCTTTGTTTGGGCCTGATATGCTTTTCTTTTCATGTCTCATCACCATGAAAATGGGTTACTACAACTATTAAGATGGTCTCAGGCATTTTATTCTGGTTTCCGTCATGCAGTCTTTAGTCAAGCTCCTTTAAAATTTTTTTTCAATTCATGCATATGTATATTCCTACATATGCATATATGTAAGTGCACCATATGCATGCAATGCCTGTGGAGAACAGAAGGCACTGGATCCCCTGGAACTGGAGTTACAGACAGCTGTAACCAAACCCAGGTCCTCTGCAGGAGCAGGCACTCTTAACAGCTGATAACAGCTGAACCATCTCTCCAGCCCCTCAAATTCCTTAATGGCACTGGCTTCAAGATGGAGCACATGGTTCCTTCTTCCTAGCAAATGCCCTCCTACTGAACTTAAAGCCTTACCCCTTTCCCATACCCTGGGAGGGTACTTTTTAGTCTAGGTTGCTCCAGGAACAAGGACTGACCAACCGTATGATTAAACAGGTCACTTCACTGTTGATATTACAGACTCCTAGGTTTGTCTCAACTATGGGGGGGCAAATGAGGGCAACGGACTGCCCACAGTGCATGCCTCCCAGATTTTGAAAGATCTGCTAGTATTTGCCATAAGCGATACTGAGCTGATTGATCTAATGTACAGTATAACAACCAAATGTTCCCTGCCTCTGCACTAAGGTGATCATAAAGTTCTGAAAGAATCAGATCAAGGAGAAAGAGCAATGTGGTGGAGGAAAAACTTCCTTTACATGAGGCCTGAGCACTGGCAGAACATGTACAAGAAATAAGGAGATCAAGTCAGCAGTGGGGAACCCAAGTCCCTGTGTTCAAGGTTGGTCTATCACCAGACGGTTTCATACTGCCTCACCTTGATAAAGGTTCTGTAGGACTCAAGTCTACCCAAAGCTCTCTCTCAACTAAAAGAAGAGAAAAATTGTCCATATACATGAGCACTGTAACCTCATTATAAACAAAGCCTCTTAGTGCTGAGAGTAACAAATCAGAAATTTGGGACTTGAACTAAACAGAAAATTGTGTGTGTGTCTCTTATATACATGTGTGTTTACTTTTTATTTTATGTGTATGAGTGTTATGCCTACATGTATATAAGTGCACCCATGTCGTGCAATGCCTGCGGAGGACAGAAGAGGCTGTCAGATCCCCTGGAACTGGATCCTCAGCTACATAGTGAAGATGAGGCCTAGGTTACATGAGGTCCTATCTCAAAAACAAAACAAAATTTCAACCACATATGTTTTATTTTTAACTTTTACAAAAACTATTGAGAATTTCATACATGCACATAAGGTGTTTTGATCAAATCCATGCCCATGCCCTTCCTTCCAACACTTCCCATATCTCCCCATCACTTTTTTTTCTTTTTTCATTTATTTATTTT